TTCACAAATATGGGATTGCTAAAAATCCAAATGTCATTGCGCTCCCTTAAGTAAGCCTTAGACGTCTGCCCAGTAAGTGCAAATGTCATCCAGTCTCAGCATTTCTGGATGTCTACAGGAGGCTTTGACAGGTAAATATCCAGTCAAAGCCCCCTGGGGTGCCTTCTGGCTTCTTCAGGGGTGCCTTAAAATTTTGCATAATGCTAATTTGGGAAGGCTGGGATCCATTCAGAAGAGCATGGCAGTTCGCCTTCATCAAGGCCTGCTCTGCCTCCCATCCCATGCCATGCTGCCGCAGCTGCAGCCACAAGCCCTGATGGTGATAGGACTCTATCCTGATGTTGTGAAGGGGGGACTGAGAACCCCAGTGCTGGGATTCCATCTCCAGAATCTACCTTTTTTCATCTACTACTATCACTTTTCTTTACTGTAATTCTGCATGCATACATTAGGCAGAGATGGCCATGCATACACAATCCAGCCATCAAATGAACATTTTTAGGAGAAGATTCATAATATTAACATGCAAATTGGAGCAGACAAACTTACATGTTTGTGCTTTTGTAGGGGCACTGGAAGTACTCACAGTTGCAGGGGAAATACTGACTGGGTTATTCACAAAAGGGTGAAGAGTTTGAAGAAGGCAGGAGAGGTGAACAATCTAGGTTAAAATAGTTGATTTGGAAAAATTCTCCAATTCAGCTCACTTTCCAGTTCAGCTATGTTGTCTTAGATTATTTACTTATCCTGTCTTCTCCAAACTCTTCACCCTTTTGTAAATGACCCTCTAAATATTGGATGGAAACATCAATCCCAACCAATGGATCCTTCTTTGACCAAGCTCCACCATGAGGCTTCAAGGAAAGCTCACATACATACAAACATTTTCTGATGTGAAAAGAGGGGGTTTCTAATGTGAAGGGGGCCTCCTGATGTAAAGGGGTGGTCTGATGTCAACAGGGGATTCTTATGTGAAAGGGGTGCTCTGATGTGAAGGGGGCTCCTAATTTGGAAGAGGAGGACTCTGATGCGAAAGGAGGGGGTTTCTAAAGTGAAGGGGACCCCCTAATGTAAAGGGGTAGTCTGATCTTAAAGGGGGATTTTTATGTAAAAAGGGGGATTCTTATGTGAAGGGGGGGGGTGGGACTATGATGTGAAGGGGGCTCTTCATGTGAAACAGGGGGACTCTGATGTGAAAGGAGGGAGCTTCTAAATAAAGAGGGGCCTTCCAAGTGTAGGCTCCTGATGTAAAGGGGTAGTCTGATGTTAAAGGGGGGCTCTGATGTGAAGGGGGTTCTTAATGTGGAGAACCCCAATTTTTGGCGTTCTTGCATGGGATAATGGTTTGTTACGGATTTTGGTAGGACCGCACGTCATTTTTTACCATGTATGGTTTTTACATTTTAGACTGGGGTACCTCAAGATTTTTGCATACTTTTAGAGGGTGCCGTGACTAAAAAAAGGTTGAGAAACGCTGATCTAACATACAGTCCACGCTCTGCAATCTTTCCTATTTGCTGTCACCCTCTAATGCACAAAGCAATGAATATAACTGGTTCTGGACCAACCTGACCTACGTCATTGTTCTTCCTGGAATGACTAGAAGATCCTTATAGAAAGTATGGTCATAATAGAATGAATGGTGGAGACAGTTCCACCCTCGGCACATAATGACGGGGTACAATGCAGATGAAAACACTGGGGATATTGGGATGTGTTGTGCTGTATGGTGCGGGACATAATGAGGCTTTTGTCTTTTAAATCCCATTAAGCTAGCAAAGCTCACGTTAAAGCGAATCTGCCGTGTGTGAGACAAGATCACGTTCTGTAGAGCAGACTCGGAGTGTAGAAATTACTTTTGGTTTTTGCACTTGTGTGCCTTCAGAACCCCAACTAAAACTTCTTCCTTTTTTTTTTTTTTTTTTTTTTTTTTT